CTGTCTCCCTCTGGCTCTCTGCAGCGCTGCCCGGACACCTCCTGCGGGGGCTCCTGCCGCTTCTCACCGTCTTCCACCTCGAGCGGGCTGAGGGCGCGGCGCGGAGAGCAGGTGACCCCGGCGGGGATGGCGACAAAATCTTGGGCGGGAGGGACGAGCCCCCCAAAACTACTGGGGTGCACAGATCCCCACACGTAGCCGGGGGATGCCCCCCGGCTGGAGAGGCGAGGCCCACACCGGAGGAACCCTCCGTCCGGAGGGATGAACTCCTCTGGGCTGGAAATAGGAGCCCCTGGCTGGAGGGGTGAACCCCTCTTCTAAGGGGGACAGCCCTGGAGCGCAGTTCCTGCCACCCGTGTCCAAAACCTGGAGCCACGTCCTGTACCTAGGAGGGTTCACACAACAGCACAGCCCCTGCTCCAGCTCGGGTCCTTTTGAGGCCTGGCAAAACCTGCTGTTTTTAAACTCCTGTCCATTAAAAGGCAGTGGTCTTCCCCTTGCTGCAAAGTACTGGGTTTTTGCTCTAGGGATCTGGGTCTGCACCCCTCTGAGCTGCCCCTCATCTGCCCAGCGCCCCTGCGAGCTCCAGGGCAGGGCGCTCGGATGGGGAGAAGGGGTGAAAGTCATTATTTTTCTTTCCCAGGCCTCTCGACGCAGCCCATCTGGCGCAAGCTGTGGGACGATGTGATGAAAACCCGGCCACCCAACTTGGAGGTGAGGAAGTGCCGCTGGTGGGAGAAGGGATACAGTGCAGGCCCCCCGTTTCTGCCATCTTCCGTGAGGTTTTGCCTGCTGGTGCTGCTGGCCACCTCCAAACGATTGCTGGAGGCTTGTTTATAAGTGTTTGTAGAGCTCTGGACCAAGGCATAAGCCCAGGAGCACAACCATTTTGGGAAATGGGGTTCATGAAAGGAACTGTAGTGTACAGCCACACCTTTCGTCTCACAACAGCGAGGTTGCTGAAACAAACCCTGTATTTAGAGATGAAATTCTTAGGGAAACAGAGGATAAAAACAGTATCTTGTATCATGCTTACACCTACACTGGCAAAAAGAAAAAAAGCTGATATCTTAGAAAGCACTGGAGAAATACTTACAGAAGACAGTGAGTTTGAGGAATGGTTTGACGTAGAAAAACGGAAGCAGCTCCACTGATTCAGCGTCGCTAAAGAATCGTTAACAGCCAACTTAATCACAGCCTATAAAGAGATGCTCAGGAAGAACATTGCTGCTGATGTGGTTTTTAACAGGCAAAACTCTGGTTTAGCTTCAAACCACTGAATATGTTTAAGTTAGGCCAGAAGCAGGATGACGAGAGTGATGGGAGTAACTCCATGTTTCAGCAAAAAAAGAAGGATGTTGAGAACTAGACAGGTAGCCTCAGTTGTGCCAGCAGGAGGATTTTTGGACACCACACTTACCAGGTTAGCAGGTAGCAATGATTTAACTTAAAAAGAAGGAGAGCAGTTGTGGCTGACCTCTTGTCAATACGGCCCTGTTGTTCAATCGCAGAGCGTAACCTGCTGGAGGAAGAAGTTCCTTGAAACGTTCTTCTCCAACGTTCTTCACGGTGTCTTGGATGTCTCCTCTGACTGGCGTCTCAACGACCGTGACTTCTCGCCGCTGCTGCACAGCTCCCCGCACGTTTCCCAGCTCACCCTCTGCAACATGCTGCAGGGCGCGGTGGAGCTCACTGCCGAGCACAACCGGCGAGTCCTCGAAAACCTGGCTGGCTCCCTGCGCACCCTGAAGTTCCAGCACCTCCTCTCCTCCGACCGGTCCATCAGGCGTTCGCTGGTTTTACTTCTTCACCGGTTGATCCACCACGGCTCCGTGAGCCAGGTGTCCATGTATTCCTGGCCCGTTCCTGACACGGTTCTTCTCGTTCTCATTTTGAGCATGAGTGCGGGGTTTTGGCGCTCGGGAAATGCCCTCGTGTATCACAGCAGCCCATGCGGCCTTTGTAGAGAGGAAGACGAAGCCCAAAGCCTGGAGTCGGCACAAGAGCAAGCAGAAAGGGGCCGCTGCAATGAGCACGAGCAGAGTAGTGAGAACCAGAAGGGATCTCCCAGGGCCCCGGAGGAGGCTGGTGCGGAGAAGAACGGATACAGGGCTGACGCTCGCCTGAGCTGTGTCCACTCTGAACCAAGAAGGCCTCCGCGAAACCAAGCGTGCAAGGAGGCAAGCAGTGACGTGCCCTGTGACCACACCAGCACTCGGGGAGGGTCTCGTCATGTCCCAGACCAGCTGTCCTGTCAGCCTGTTCTTCGAAAGACGCGCCGGCGGCTGAAATCCGCAGTGGGGAAGAAGCGCCGCTGCCTCGGACGAAGCGGGGCACCGTGTGCTGACCCAGAAGACCTGTATGATTTTGTTTTTACTGTTGCTAGAGAGGATAACTCAGGGTTACTCAACAAAAACAGTGTCACGGAAGGAGAAAATGTTGAGAACTGGACCAGTTCCTCCCCAGGATCTCCGTGCACTGGCCATGCCGGCTGCAAGAGAAGAGGAGGTTCTGCTGGGATCTTCTCTCTGAAAGCTGCTCGCCGCTTCCGAAGCGTGTCTACGCTGGAGCTGTTCTCCATTCCTTTGACGGGGGAGATGTGTCGGACTCTGAGTAACCTGCTGAGCTCCTGGGTGTCCTTGGAAAGCTTGGTTCTGTCATACAACGGTTAGTGGCGTGAGCAGGTTGCTTCCCTCTAGCCTTGGTCTGATGATCTGACTTACTGCTCAGGTTTGCCCTGGTTTTATTTTTACTGGAATGGGCGTTCTAAGAACATTGGTACCTGATCTCAGGAATGGCATTGGCAGTGATGTTTAATGAGTGTGAGGACTTGCTTGGGGGAGAAATGAGGCCCTTCTGCCCCAGAACAGCCCCATGCCTTGAGTTTAAACACCATCCAGAGGGCAAAGGGGAGAGCCAGATCTCCATCTCCTGTACACGCAGTCTAGCTTAAGAACATACAGATAAAGCAGTCTGTGAGTTTACCCTTTGACGTAGGTTGCTTGGCTGTTGGCGCAGCTCCGGCTGCGTGTGTCGGTGTAGGCACAGGCACCGCTGACATCTCTCTGTCCAATGCTGTTCCAGGCTTGGGCGCCAACATCTCCTGCATCCTGTCTGGGCTCCAGGCCCTCTCCTGCCGCTCGGACTGCCGCCTCCGCGTGGTGCGCCTGAGCGACGTCTTCTCCCACGTGCTCTGCCTGGAGCTCGTTCGCCGCATCCTGAGCGCCTTTCCCCAGCTCCACACGCTCTCGGTCAGCTTCGACCTCAAAAACCAGCTGGAGGGGAACAGGCCAGAGGGGAATCCAAGCTGCAGTGAGGCAGAAATCCCAGGTAGGAAACAGATTCTGAGTGATGACCAGGGTGTGGCAAGAAGGTAGAGCAGTAAAAGCTTGGCACGGAGATGTGAACTCTACGCTGTTACAGTGGTGTGTGATTAAGCAATTACAGCCTCACCTTTCTGATTGAGATGCTGTAGCAGTTTGTCATTTCCAGCTTGTGACGCGCTCTGCGGAGCCTGAGTCTTGGAGAGAGCATTTTATTGCTTTATGCAACCATCAGCTTTGTAGAGGGCGAGCTGTAACCTGCTAGTAGTGCCTGTCCACACAGTCCACGGGGCACATGTCCCACCAGATCTGTAAATTGCTTTCTCCATCCCATTGACTGTGAGGCTCTAAACCTTACATGGACCCTGAAGCAGAGGGAAAGCATCTCTTGATCATCACAGCACCACAGGTGATGGCAAAGCACTGGCCAAGCCTCTGGATTAGTCTGGGAGCTATAGCAGTGTTTTCAGCTCACAGGTCTTGTTGCCCTTGCATTATTACTAGAAAAGCAGTAAGCAAAGCTTGAGCAAGTCTGGAGTGGGGTCTGGGAAGAGCTGTGCTCTGGGAAGGCACCGACTGGTTTGTGCATAAAGGGCAACCTCTTCTCAAGTGTTGTTTCACTGCCAGAACGCAGCAGAAATTGGTGGCCCTGTGGCCTGGCAGGAGTCCTGAAAGGAGCCTTCAGTGATTTGCATCACCACAGGGCTGAGTTGCCATAGAGCTCTGTGAGGCAGGACGTGTCCCATAGGCACTTCCTGCCAACCTAAATGATTGATAGTCGTGGCAGGCACTTGGACATCTTGCTTAAGGACCTAGTGGTGGTGAAGACGGGCACTCCAGACTAAGCTCTTTCATCGTCGTTTTTCTTCCCTCAGAGAGCTGCCTGGAGCAGCTGGAGATCCGATTCCCCAGGGAGCCTCTGCACACCGTGTTCCTGCTGCCAGTGCTCAAGGCGTCAAAGTCCCTCCAGCAGTTGTCCCTTGACAGCGCCACGCTGCCCAATTCTCAGGAGCTTGGGCTCCTTTTGGAGGCACTCAGAGGTACTCTGCTAACCTGTAGGTAGCATCACTGTGACACACAGTAGCTTTCTTGCTATGATCTTCCATCCTTTAGCATGAAGCCAGCTTAGGTGGGTTCATTTCTTCAGTGTGGACATCCCTGAAATCTCCCAAGGAAAGGAAATGGGTGTCAGCCATTCCACTTTCTGTGCTGAGCATGTGAATGATCCTGCACAGCAGGTTGGTTCCTTTTTAATTACCCACAATCCAGCACAAATTATCCACAGTCCAATTCAGTTTCTGGGCGTTAGCTTGTATTTGGGTTAGGGTCTTTTTATCTCAGGGATGTACAGTACTTTACCTGAGATCTTGTTTTGCTTCTAGAGTGTAATCCAAATTTGAAGAAACTGAGCTTTCATGATGTGAACCTGGCTGAGCACCAGAAAGAAGTTCTGCTTTTGCTTCAGGATCCTGTCCTGCAAGGTACAGCAGACTCCTGGGTGGAGTTTGGAAAGGTGCTGCAGGTGGCTGCTTTTGTCTGACGTTTAAGAGGTGATCTAGGATGTAAAAGGTTTAGCTCCAGTCCCTGGAGCAGATCTGTAGCTGTTGGCAGAGTGGGAACATGTCCAGTTCTTTGTGTAAGCAGGGCGGAGAGAGGAGCAGCTGCAAAGCTGGTGTGTGCTGCAGAGAACAGTTCATGGTCTTGGCCGTAAACCAAAGATTTTTAACCTGCAGAGCACATCAGCCTTTAACTGGGTCAGCTGGCAAAGCCACTTCCCTGGGTGTAATCTCTGCTCTCTTCCTGTGGCAGAGCCGTGGTGCTGTTGCATGCAATCCACTGCTGGGGAAGCTTTGTTCTTGCATAGGGCTTAGGGGCTGGAGCTGCCTGCGGGATGTTAATTATGGAGTAACGAAGCGCACAGGGAGTACTGACTCGTACCATCAAATCATTCCTTCCATAGAAATCACGTTTTCCTTCTGCCGGCTTTTTGAAAGCTCTACTGCTGCGTTTTTGTCAGAAATAATCAATACAGTGAAACGAAATTCATCTTTGAAGAGCCTCAAACTGCCTGGGAATCGACTTGGTGCGTACTGGGAACGTTGCTATGGGGCCTTATCTTAGAGAGAATTTCAGGGTTGGCATTAGGAGCGTTGCTAGCTGGTGACCTCTGTGCTGAACTTAACAAATGCATGAACAGAATGGATTTAGCTCACAAAATAAAGCGCATCAAGTTCATTTCTTTTAAAGGCAGAATGTCAGTTGTGTTCAGCAGTGTACCAAGAGCCAGGGTGCTGCACAGGCATTAAGGTTGCTTTTCTCTGCAGCAAAAGCAAGTATCAGCAGGACTCCAGATCTGACTGAACACTGATCTGCTTCAGACTCTTTAATAGGAACAGATCCAGCAGCAGAGGTACTGCCTCTCATCCAGAGGCACAGGCTTCGCCTAAGTTTGGGCATTTTATGCCTTAAAAGCTGTTTGCAGCTACTGGAGGGATGGAAACAAGTAAAGGAAGGGGGTGTGGCAAAGAAGTGGAACTGTGAATTTACAGAAATGAGTGATAGGCTTCTTGGATCACAGGCCATGTAGAAACGTTTGAGAAATGAATCTCAGGTAAATCCAGGATATAATTTTATTTTCTTTTAATGAAATGGGAAAGCTTGGGATCACCTGAAATACACTTCTAAGGTTTGTGTTTAACCTTGTGGGTTTGGCCATTTTTAAAATAAAGCTGCGTATTGACTTCTCAGGAAAAAATGATTTTTCTAGTGACAAACTGCGCTATCAGCAAATGTTTCCATTGCCCTGAACATTGCTCTGGAGGGTGAACTCTCTTTAGGCCATTGAAGGGGCCAACTGAGAGTGCAGAGATGAGCCTTTTATGCTGCATGCCCATGCTCACAGCCTCCTTTTGGCACTATTATCCCAGCCCTGTGGCCATTTAAATATTTAATATGGTTCCCAGTTTGCATCCAACACCATTTCTCCTCTCTTAGGGAATCACAGGCTGGTTGCCCTCGCAGATGTTTTCTCTGAAGATTCTTCCTCTTCTCTTTGCCAGCTGGATGTCAGGTATTCTGCTGCTCTAAATACACTCAATTTCTTGTTTTGGGAGGGCCAGAGCTGAACTGGGCTCAGACAGCAGGAGTCTGAGAATGGTTTTGTTCCTTCCTCAAGGCAGTGTGACCAAGAAAAGCTTAGAGAATGTGCAGTGGGCACATACAACCTCAGCGACCTCCAGCATCTCTGAGGCCTCTCACTGTCCCTTTTATAAATGAGTCAAGCTCCATCTTCAAAGTAGCTTTGGAGGCTGCTACAAGTCCTTCCTTCACTGTAGGTTAGAACTTATGTCCCTATGTACACATATTCTTAGGCATCAGTGTGAATAGCTCTGTTTGCACTTTTCCAGCATATGGAGAGCACTGTTGTTGCCCCAGCAGATCCTAGGAGTGCCTCTGCATTCCTTTCATCATCTTTGGTCTTCACCCTGAACTGCTGCTTTTTTTCTGAGCCTGAATGGCCATAAACATAGCCACATGGAGGGTAGCATTTCTGCAATACTAGTGATTCTTCTGCTTGATTATCCCCTTCTTTACATCCTAATAGCTCAGGTTGCTGAGAGAACACAGGCTTGACTACTTATTTAACCATGGCAGCAGCCTTGAATTTTGAATCTCTATCTGCACCTGACTGTAACTGTGCTTCTCACAAGATTAGGTCCAGCATGCAGCTTCATATTCATTTACACATTATGCAGGAGAAATTACCTTTTAAACACCTAGAAACTCTCGAACCTGACACGTGCTTTCCAGCTTTTCCTCAGAAAATAAATGATCACTTACTGCTGAGGTTTGCACTGGGACCTGTTGTCTGGGCCAGGCCCCTTAGTCCAGGGAGCTGACAGTTGCTGTAAGACTGAAGTGCTCCTGGCACTGCTTAGCCAGCAGCTTGGGGCCAAAGAGATGTTAAGGCCACATCTCGGTCTGCTTAACTCACTAGTAAAGGGGTAAGAGTAAGTTTAACTTGTCAGTGGTTATCACTGTAGTTTTAAAAAGCTTCCAGCCCATCTTAATGCTGTGCTTCAGTTTTGTTTTTCATCAAAACTAATGGACCACTCCCACTTTGTACTGAAGAAAGTTGTACTTTGCATTGGAACATCCTCAAGTGCCTGCACTGGCAGTTACTAGAAGGGACTGTAAGTTATACTGCTCAAATTATAGCCTAGACTCTTAATGACTTTTTTTTTGTCCTCCTTTTCCTGGAAAGTTCAAACTGCATCAAACCCGATGGGCTCCTGGAATTCACAAAGAAGCTGGAAGGCCACATCCAGCGGAGAGGGGGACAGATTCCATTCACACACCTCCGTCTCTTCCAAAATTGGCTAGACCAGGATGCTGAAACAGCTCAAGAAGCACTTCGGCGTCTCAAAGCTGTGTGCAGTGTGGTCAATGACTCATGGGACTCCTCCCAGGCTTTTGCTGACTACATCAGTGTCATGTGATGGGCACAGGAGCAGAAGAAGACTCATGAGCTGGAACTAACAGTTCAGTCACTGGCCCGTGAGATTCATTTCACAGCACAGGTGGGGTTTTCTTCCCCTGGTTATGCAGCATGCAGTTCCTGTCACTTCTCTGTTCCTTTGAAGGGGTACCACAGTGAAGTGACACAGGGTCAACAACTGTAATTCCAGCTGATTTCACTCTTACCATCTTTTAAACTTAAAATATTTTAAATGAGACCAATACCAAATGGGCTTCTGTGACTTCCTGCAGATCGCTGGAGAACAAGTTATTTCACTGGGTGTTACAGATGTCATGTTGTTTCAGCCAGTGTCTCATCAATAACTATCTCCATCACTGGAGAGACTCAAAAGCCATCTGGCTGTGGGCCTTGGCAGCCAGCTCTAGGTGACCTTGCTTTTGAGCAGGGGTGTTGGGACAGCATCACCTTGAGGTCCCTTCAAACTTCAACCATTCTGTGACTGGTGAAATAAGAACTCTTTCCACTTAAGTAGAGTAAAAGAGAAGCTAAAGGTCAACACTGGGGGTGCTTTTAATATTTGGAAAATTACTTCATAAAAGAAAATTCTTCATGTACCAAGTAGCCTGCTGTTTATTTGCAGTCATTTATCAAGGTGTCTGGGACAAGAATTCTTCTTGCCCTGTTCCAGTGTCTGCAGTCCTTTTACAGAGGTTTTGACTAGTTTGTTCTTTTATAACACTTTTATAATAAAAATATAGTTAAGACCCATAATGTACCAAAGTGTCAGTTTCATTACTGGTTTGTAATGGGATCTGATTAAAACACTGCTAGATCAGGGGATCCTGCCCATAACACAGCAAGTGCTTTTAGAAATGGAGTTGAGCCTGATTTCCTACTGTATCCTGATCCTTCAGGCCAGATGTTCAACATACAAGCTGAAGTTTTTTTCCCCTTGTACAGATCTTGTTCCCGAGTATTCAGCAAGGTTCCTATTTCACAACAGAAATGGATCCTACAAACTTCTGATTAGCAGTTGTAAGCCATAGCTGTCAAGGAAAAAAAACACCACTATGCGCGCCCAAGTGCTCTAAAACTGCAGGCTTAACTTAAACTTGAGGGCAGAACTTGGCCGAGTAGAAGGCACAGCCACCAACAGCATGAGAACCAGTGCTGAACCTGATCAAGTGCACAAGCTCCAGTTATTCCCTGTTCCTACAAAGCTCTTTTTCAGGCACACAACACAACAGCAGAGAAAAAGCCATGGACTCCTTGCTGTTGCTGTAGACTGACCAACACCAAGGGCCTTCCAGCCTCACAGAAACCACGCTCTTCTGCTCTTCTATAGCCACACAACAATCCAGCATGTACTGCTGCCCACTGCCCCTTTCCTTGAAAGGGATTAAAGCTGGGTGGACTGCCACAGCAGCCTGCCCTTGCCCCCACAGGGGACAGTAACCTGTTAGGGAATCCCTCGCTGCTCTTCATGGGAGTGGTGATGAAAAGTGAAGGTGACAGCAGCATCCCATGCAGCCTTCAGCACCGAGTCCTGCAGCCCCCGCTTATCAGCACAGTGGTTCCACTGGGAGAGGTCAGAGGTACAGTCAGACCCTTCAGGAGGGGGCCGGACCTGGTGGCCGTTCACACAGCGGCGACACTTGATCCTGCAACAGAGTCAGCACAAGGTCAGCACAACATTCCTCCACTTTAGTGTTGTTCAAAAATGCAGCCCAGTAACATTTGGATCAGCTCTCCTTCCCCTGCAACACTGACTGGCAACTGTCTTTTCAGTCAGCTGTAATTCCTACCATGTTTCATTTTAACACAAAACCAACTTCTGACATGTGCAACGGATAAGGAATGACTCCCACACATTTTGGAAACCCTGGGGTTGTTTCTAATGGCATTCCCCCTCCATGTGTAGCCACACGGGAATGGTCCAGCAGGACCCAGAGGAAGTTCAGACGTTTCCTCTGACAAGTGAGGGATATTGCTTAGAGCAGATCTCGAGTGAACACCCTCAACTGCAAACACCTTCTTAGCACTGCATTAGGCTCTTCAAGAGAGCACACTGCTCCAAACCACTACATCCTGGCTCCCACCACAGCGACCAGGTTGTGCTCAGGCTCTTTTGGAGATGCCCTAATGAGCTGCCACATAACACAGAGCAGCAGCAGCCCTGCCAGCAAGGCTTGTTGCCAGGCAGACAAAATACCTACACAGATCTAAGCTCTGAGTCAGCTTAAAACTAATCCTCTTCACTTCTTGCCTGAACTAAGAGTCTTAACTTTCCCTGTGAAGCATTTTCCTGCACTCCCTGTCCTCTTTCTGGTAGCTTCAATACCACAGGTCTCAGGGGTAGGGAAGAAGGGCAGACAATGGAGAAAAAGGATCCTTTCAGGCCCCAGCACAGCACTTGAGTTGGCCTCATGAATTCTTAGTAGATGGAGCAGCCCTAGCAGTGGAAGCAGCTCATGTGGAGATCACTGCCACCAGGAAGAGAGCAGCAAGGAAGAACCATGTTAAGCTCCACCAATTTGAACCG